CCTCAGCCTCCCAAAGTGCTGGGATTACATGTGTGAGCTACTGCGCCCGACCAATACCTTTACTTTTAATAACATAAGGCTGGATATCTTTGTGGCAGCTTCTATAAGAGAATACAGCTGCCATATAGAAAGACCATCTAGGAACCACACAGAGTAAGAAAGAGATGACTGAAGGTCCCCAGCCGCCCCAGCCCTTGGCTGTTTGAGTCTTACTGGTCCAGGTACCAGACATGTGAGGGATGACACCTTTAAGGTGGCCCGAGTTCCAGCAGCCATCCAGTTACCACCACTGAGAGACCCTGAGTGAGGTATGCCTAGCTAAGCCCAGTTGACAGCCAAATGTGTCAGCAAAATAAACGATTGTTATTGTTCTAAGCCACTGTTTTGGGATTGTTATGCAGCGGTAGACCACTGGAAGGAATACACCATGGGTTTGCTTGATTTTGCACTTTTCTTGGCCTCTGCAACAGGTTCTTAGGGCTGCTGTAACACGTGATTACAAACTGGGTGCCTTGAAACACAGAGATTTATTCTCTCACGTTTCTGGAGGTCAGATGTATAGAATTAAGACGTTGACAGGGCTATATTCCTCCCAAGGCTCTGGGGAGAAGACTTTTTTGCCTTTTCCAGCAAGAGCCTTAACTTAGTTACATCTGCAAAGAACCTTTTTCCAAATAGGCTATGTTCCCAGGTTCTAATCCCTGATTCGAATATTAACATGTCTTTTTGGGGTCCACCATTTAATCTACTGTAGTATCTGACCTCTAGCCTTCCAAATTCACACCGGCCTCATATGCAAAATACGTTCATTCCACCTCAACATCTCCAAAGGTCTTAACTCTCATCCAAATACCACAAAAATTAGTTCAAAGAGTCCCATACAGTAACACGTAAATAATCTAATAATCAAGTATAGGTGAGCCTACGGGTATGAGCTATGTAAGGGCAAAATTCCTCTGCATCTGTTAACTCATGAGACTAGAAAACAAGATATCTGCTTCCAAAACACAAAGGTGGGCCATGTATATGATAGACAATTTCACTGCGAAGGGGACAAAATAGAAGGAATCAAAGTGTCATCAGTCTCAAGCAAGTTAGAAATCCAACAAGGCAAATTTATTTGGTTTCAAGGTCTGGCAATAGTCTTCTGCGGCTTGAAGCCGTGTCCTTTGGGCCCACGGCTTCACAGGCCTCTTTGCTCATGGCAGCTTGGTAGGTCTCTGCTCTTGAACCTTCAGCCTCTATCCCCTGTACCCATGACTCTGTCCTTAGTCATTCTTCCTTTTTCTTGAAAGGCAGTGGATGCTAACACCTGAGTGATTCTATCAGTCCTCTTCTTGCTTGAGGAATTTTGCATAACTGACAGCCTCTCTTTCACTTTGTCCTGTCTCAGTCTCTTCAGGCCAAACTGACAGTGTTTCTTCTGATACAACCTTCTCAAGAACTTTTGAGGCTCCCATGTATGTCATAAGGATCCATGTCATTAGATAAAAGAACCCCCACAGATCTTTCCTGGATAACACTGGATCTATCCCTGGATCTGTGAGATAATTGAGGGATCTATCAGTTATATAGCAGATCTCTTCAGCACAATATTGTCTAGGCATACCCTTGGCCCTCTCTCCAGGGTATGCTTTCCCAACAGTGAATTTCCCAGTTTTAGCACCTTTTGCAATCTGAAACTCCCAGTCAACAAGTGTTGTTTCTTTTTGCTTGACAGCTCCTTCCTCAATTTTCTTCTTTCCTTTTATGTTTTATTACAAACAACATGAAAAAACCAGGCCACACCTTCAACACTTTGCTTAGAAATCTCCTCAGCTAAATATCATTGCCTAGAAATTCTGCTGTCCACCTAACTAGAGGACACAATTCATCCAAGTTCTTTGCTACTATGTCACAAGGGTCACTTTGCCTTCAGTTTCCAATAACATGTCCCTCATTTCCTTCTTAGCCTTCAACTCAAACCACCTTTAACATCCATAGTCCTACTAATGTTTGTTCATGATGAGGTATACATTTCTAAGATGGTGGAAGAATTCTCTACCATGCTCTTCACTTCCTTATGTCCCCTCATCAGAATTGCCTTTAAAATCCATAACTCCACTAAGAGTCTCTTCAAGAAAGTCTATAATTTTTCTCTCAAGTACCTCAAAAACCACCCAACCTCTATTTATTACTCAGTTCCAAAATTACTTCCACAATTTGGGGTATTTGTTACAGCAGCACCCACTTCCTGGTACCAAAATCCGTATTAGTTTTCTGGTGCTGCCATAACAAATTGCCACAAACTAGGTGGCTTAAAACAGACAAAATTTTTTTCTCAAAAGTCTGGAGATCAGAAATCCAACATCATGGTGTTGACAGAGCCACACTCTTTCTGAAGGCTCGAGGAAAGAATCTTTATTCCCCTTTCCAGGTCCTGGTGGCTCCAGCAATTCTTGGCTTGTGGCAGAATCACTGCAATTTCTACCTTAATCTTTTCATAGCCTTCTCTTCCTCTATGTGTCTCTCCTCTGTGTCTCTTATAAAGTCACTTCTCACTAAATTTAGGGCCCACCTGGGTAATTCAGGTTGATCTCATCTTAAGATCCTTCATTATATCTTTTAGAACCCTTTCTCCAAATAAGGTCACATTGACACACTCTGGGGTATAGTAGGGTTCTCCAGGGAAGCAGGATAAATAGAACATATATAGATCTCTACATAAGAGGAGATTTATTATAATAATTGGCTCATATGATTATGGAAGTTGAGAAGATCCACAATCTGCCATCTGCAAATTGGAGAACCAGGAACATTAGCAGTATAATTCAGTCCTTGTCCAAAGGTTTAAGAACCAGGAGCAGCAAAGCCCAGGGGCAGGAGAATATGGATGCCTCAGCTTACATAGAGTAAAATTTAACCTTGCTCTGCTTTTTTGTTCTACTCAAGCTTCCCATAGATTGAATCATACCCGCCCACATTGGTGAAGGCTGTCTGCTTTATTTAGTCTATGAATGCAAATGCTAATCTCTTCTGACACCCAGAAACACCCTTACAGACACACCCAGAAATAATGTTTTATCAGCTATATGAGCATCCCTTAGCCCAGTCAAGTTGACACCTAAAACTAACCATCACATGGAGATTAGGACATAGACGTACCTTTTTGAGATTCACAATTCCACTCACTCCAGTCACCTTCCCTTCCTCATCCCAACTCCCCTTTCTTTCGCCATTTTTTTCTTGAGAATGCTCACTAATAAATTACTTTTACACAAATCCTTGTTTTGTGGTCTGCTTGTGGGGAAACAAACCTAATAGGGTTTATATGTGGAGTCTCTATTTGATCCCATTCGTCTGTTTGTACCCATACCAATAGAATATTGCTTTAAAAATTATTTATTCTGAGATATCTGTAGATTCCTATGCAGTTGTAAGAAATAATTCAGAAATAGATCATGGACTCTTTATCATCAATGTCATCGCTATCCAGTTTTCCCCAATGTTAACATCCTGCAAAACTATCGTACGGTATCACAGCCAGGACATTGACATTGACACAGTTGAGACACGGAATCATTTGTTTACCACAGGGCTCTCTCATGTTGTCTTTTTACCACTACACCCAGTTCCCTTTCTCTCCCGGCCCTTATTCCCTGGGCCCTGTCACTCACTAACCTCCTATTCATTTCTATAGTTTTCGGTTTCTAGAATGTTACGTAAATAGAGTCATACAATAGGAGACCTTTTGAGATTAACTTTTCTTCATTGAACGAAATTCCCTAAAGATTCATCCAGGTGGTTTCATGGATGAGTTGTTCAAAAGCAACTTTGTTGCTTTTGATAGCCATGTGGTATTCCACAGTGTGAGTGCACGGTAGTTTGTTTAGCTATTCACATGGGTAGTTTGCAGGTTTAGGCTGTCATGAATAAAAGCTGCTATAAACATTTGTGTACAGATTTTTTTGTGAACGTCAATTTTCATTTTTTCTGGAAGACTTGTCCAGGATTGCCATTGGTGCATCACAGGGTAGTTTTATTAAAAATGTCCAAACTACTTTCCAGAATGGCTGCATCATTTTGCATTCCCACGAGCAACATATGAGATGTTGAGATGATACCAGCTGGGGTCCCAGGTGGACCACAGCTCCTGCTACCACTGTAACAGGACGTGCAGACTTTGCACTCAGCACCGCTCCAGCATGCCTCCCATTCCAATGTCCTGCTTTGAAGCCCCTCTCCCTAGCCTAAAGTGTGAAGAGGTTTCTGGAGGTGTAAACTGGCTACTTTCCCACTGTTAGCTTGAATACAGTCACTTTTCTACCCCTGTACTTCATCCTTGTTAGTGGCTGTGCAAGCTATGAGCAGCCAGGCCTGCACTGGGTTACAGTGTGAACTTAAAGACTGTAGCCGAGATCACCTAAGGAAGGAGTGGAGAGAGAATAGGCTCAAGCCTGAGCCCCAGGGAACGTCGGGACGGTCTGAGGAAAACCAGGAGAGGACTCTGGGACAATGGAGTGGCCATCTGGTTGAGCAGTGCTAAAGGTCAAGAGGTAGACAGAGAAGCGCCCACAGCTTTAGCAATGTGGGTATGG